CCTTCGACACCCAAAGAAGCGTGGTCTTTCTCAGCATCATCATCTTTTGGTTTTGGTTTATGACTGGGTTTTGACGAGACTAAAAAAGAAAATACATCTTTTTACCATTCAAGGAGAGATACCGCTGTGGCAGTCGACAACAGACTCACTTGCTCAAAGACCTTACCAAAAACAGTAGTAAGCAAAAAAAAAGGCTCTATAAATTTGAATCTTCGCCGATTTGAGTCTAAGGCCCYGTTCACATGAGATAGGGTGCCCCTAGTGGTAGGGCCAAAATCCTTTGTTTCAAATCCTCCAGGGAAAAGAAAACAAAAGGAGTTAGCCCTATCACGTAGGGTCACCCTATATCATGCATGTAAACCGGGTATAAGCCTGTGGAAATACAGGCCGTGCACCTCAAATCAAGGAGAAYCAAAATTTGTGGAGCTATTGTAATCACATTTCCTCGTGCTTTCTTTTGTTTTTGGAAAGGTCTGTGTACTTGAGAGAGTTGTCAACTATAAAACAGCGCTCGCTTGTTTTGAACGGCAARAAGGCCTATTCAAATAGTATCAAACGTTTATAGTATTTGACAGAAATCCTGCAGTAAAAGTGCCTTTAATACAAATGGACTTGTTGTATAGATCATTAGCAGAATGAAGTGTGTTTTTATCATSTCAGGGTGAAACGATCCTAAATAGTAAAAGACCCTAAACACGARCTTAGGAAGCATAAATGATCATCTATCCAAACAAATAATTCAGTTTGCATTCAAAAATAAAAGTAATTGAAAAAGGAATAGCCATAAATGTTGATATAATCCGACTACATTCGCTTGAATTTCAAAGMAAATTTAACGAAAAGACCTGTTGCCTCAAAGCCTTCCAAAACGACGCTCTCTTTGCAAATTAATCCTGAAATCCATTGCTTAGGACTTGCAATGATGGATAATAAACTCAGAAAAAAATAACAACTTTAAACGCTTGTTAGGTGTGACTTTGCCGTGAGGTTTCACAAAAAAAGGAACTCAATCAGTTTCAAATTAACATAATATAGCTTATTTAGTTGGTAGTTGTTCGTTTAACTTACCAAGAACGGAGATTCCAATAAAAACAAGAAAAGCAAAGTAAAGTCTCATGTTTAAATAGAGACGGACGCTTCACCAAAAGAAAATAATGTGATTGAAGCCAAAGTAAACAGGAGAGTCAAGTCGCTCGGATGGTTAGCAAGGTTTGGTAATGAATTTCTTATAACCTTACAAAAAAACCTCCTCTGATTCCATTAAAAGACATGTTTTATTCATACCAACCATTTAGTATCTCTCGCTAAATAATTCTCTTTAATTGATTTAATCCCTATACCATAGAACATTTTTATTTTCTTTTTGAAAGTTGAACGGTAGTATTTAAAATTTGTTGTTTGTTTATCATGATAATTTTTCCTAATATGTTTTTTGTTCTCAATTAGACTTGTTTACTTATGAAAGACTATACGTTCTTTGTCCCTTGCTGCTGGTGGTCAATCCCTGTTACTGGTAACATTACAGTTTCTTTTAAATCTCGGCAACAAATTTTGTTAGGTTATATACCTGATTTATGAATTTAAAGATCTTTGAATCGTAATATTTAAACTCCAGTTCTATTTTCTTTGACTAATATTATCAAGAATAAAAATTTGCAAGATTAATATTAATTGAGACCCATCAGTTCAAAATTCAAGAAATGAAAGCCACATTAATAACACTAGTGTACAAACTTATTAAGTTAATGGAGKTAACAAGGCAAATGACAGGATTCACTCAGCTACGTTTGTGTAGGAGGAGCTTCTGACCTTAACCTGTTATTCTAATTATTTCTTTAAACTAACAACCGGCCTCCAACCAAGTCAAACGTACATCCGATACGTGTGGTATATATTAGGATACACGTACTAATGAACTAAAACTATGAGATTTGTTTGGTTTTTTTTTTTTTATTTTTTATGTTTGTTTGTTTTTTCATGTTTGTTTTTTTATTTACTTAATTGCTTAGCCTCGTAAGTGTGTTAAATATATTTTACTTTATTTTATCTTCGAGTCACTTTGATGTATTCCTTAGCAGCAACTTTATCAGGGGAAAGWATTAAACCTTCGTAATGAGATGATAGAGTACAAACATTAAATGTGTGCAATACTTTCCACTATTTACTACAAGTTAMTTAAACAATAKAAAWMAAWARMATTAGCATAMGTTAGCAGTATTTAGTGGTATTTATGTTGCAYAGTTTTAGTGTTTGAACTCTATTACAGGTTTACAAGAAAAATAACCAATGCTATAAAGTTGTGCAATAGTATATAAGCACTACTGAAAAGTGTGGGCAGATTTTTGAACTTTTTGTCTTTTAAAAGGAGGCGCAAAATAGTAAAATAAAACAGAAATGGTGGATATTATAAGATTTTCCTGTATTTTTTAATCTTTCCATGTCCAACTATTAATTTATTTTTTAATCAAATGAAATAGCTTCATGACGAGTTAGCTCTTTTGAATTGTGGCAATTGATCCATTAGATTCTTCGATATTTGACAAAATGGCGGACATATKGTTAAAGTTCATTTCACTGAAAACGAAGAAACTCGTTCACTTTGAGTGACATTCTTGCGCCACTTAATTCCAATTTGAAATTTAGTGTCAGTCAATTTGAAATGTTTACTTTTCTATTAGTATTTTGAATATATTTCCTTCTATTATGATCGGTTTTGGCGCACGAAATTGAAAGAGATGTCTGTGATTTTTTTCAGTTTCCATCGGTAGCTTCTTTAGTGAGAAAGCCCTAAATTGCACAAGTCTTAGTCTCCTTATTAGTACATGATGTGGTCGTGTCGTTGAGGTTATCTTTCGGGCAGACGCAAAGGCCGTGAAAGACAAAATCCCTGTCGACTGGAAACGTCGACTGACTTGTTGTTAGACGACTCGACGACTCGACGACTCGACGACTCGACGACTCGACGACTCGACTCGACAACTCGACTAGCTAGACTCGCGATAGTTAGAATCGCACTATTTAAATACCCGCAACTAAGACCCGGTTCATACGTTGTGCTATTTTCGCGCCAACCCGACCAAATAGTCAATTGGTGTCGACCCAAATATATACATTTGGTACGGCATTGATTTATTCGTCGAACAAAATGCAGTCAAAAGTATTAGAAAAGGTCAATTATTATTGTTTATATCCATTATTATTGTCGAAAAAAGATATTTTTGTGCGTTAGGAACGCCACGACGATAGCTCGACGTTTGAATTTTAAAATGCTCTAGTAAACGAGATCCCATCTAGCTAAAAAAACTCTGAAAACAAACCGGGTTTCTCATTTTCTAAATCATATTAGCTATTACTGCCGTAGTACAAGAATGCCTTTTGAAGAAATAAGTATATTTTCATGAGTTTTTTGTTTTATATCCTGCGTGAGAGGTGCCCTGAACTCAAGAAGTGACTTTGAGAGAAAAAATCGAGATTTGAGACATTTTATTTTCYTGGTCCCAAAAATTGGTTTGACCAAGAACTCCTTCTTTGACTATGGCTCAAATTCATTTTTAAAAGGAACCGACGGGTTCTTGGGAGAAATATATCTGTTCTTCTGTCCCAGCCAGCTATAAGTCACAACTACTAGTTGCCAGGGTAAATTCAGGAAAAAAAGAACTCTCCATGCAGGCAAGGAATACTTTCTAAGAATTTTTGCCAGATAAATAAATATCTCCTTACTAAAAAAAATATAAGTCGTTTTTGACCATAAAAACGTTATATTTTTGACCTTAAAAAGTTTGCCTTGGTTTGGCACCTCTTGATTTTTGACATCACATTATCTTGCGCAAAAACCATAAAATAAGCAAAATAAACAGTATGAAAGATGCTGTTATTACAATACCCTTAAATTTTACTTTAGCTCTTCAGACAAATTTAGGCTGGTCCTCACAAAAGATCTACGGTTTAMGGCATTCGGGAAAACAGGGTTAGCCTGAATTTATAGAAAATGTAAATTGATGTTATGTCTCTAACATATATCGATATAAATATTTAATAAAAACATCTTTTCGTTCGAGGTTTTACTTTTGGTAAGATATTTGAAAAAGAGAGTAAAATGAGCAGCGGTTATCAAACTGGATTTCCAAGAAATGTTGAGTCMCTCTTTYCTTTTAGAATAAGGGTCTCAGCGTCTTGGCGAGTCTCGGATTTTACCCAGCATTCTCCACTTCYGARCTCGTCAAGACTTATTCATGTTTTTCCTACATCTCAGTAGCTTTGTTTTTCTTGGATTTGATTATCTCTCATAATCGTTTATTAATAGTTATGATGACTCAATGAATATTGTTAATAGTCCATTTTAATTAAATTGTCAATTTAGGTCATACAGTCATCTAGATGAAATTTCAACAAGAACTTTTTTTAATACACCTTTACCATAATGGATGTATTTGTGTTTCTTCAAAACAAGATAGATATAAATATTTTGTCACTGTAACATCAATGAACTATCAGAAATAAAAGTTTCTGGAACGCTTTAGAACTCTGGACAAAATGGGAAAAAAGTTATGGTGAAATGAAAAAGAAATGTATGTAATTTTCCACCAATGGCTGTCTGTCTATTTGTTTTTGAATATGAAATATGTGAAACCTTTGTCACTGTCATGTCAATTAACTACCATAAATAAACATTTTTGGAAAGTTTTTTAAAAAGCCCTGGATAAAATGCGAACAAATTTATGGCGAAATGAAAATACAAAGAAATATATGTAATTTTCAGCCAAGGCCTTTACAGACTGTTTAGTGAGGGTGATGTTTACAAAAATTATTTCAAACATCTCTTCATCTCGGTAGTTTCGATGTCTAATTATAACCGGTCTACTAGCTTTTTTAATTATTGTGGTTAAGCCTGTCAGTAAATAAACCATGTTTGATTGAAGTTTGATTAAGACATTCAAGTCAACGCCTTGAAAAGAGAAAAATWCTTAAGCACAACCTGTTGTCGATTTATGAGTTACATTATTAAGTCATCCAAATCAAGAACGCTTCTAGCAGATGAGGTTGTTCTAGTAAGTGCAGTAGATCACGAGCGATCAGGTAAGGTGGACTAAGACTTTCCCCGTTCAAACCGAGCAACCGCTGCTTTAGTCGACAACAGTCTTTTATGTGCATGGAYCTTGTCAAAAACAAAAGAAAGCTCGAAAAATGTCATTACAATAGCCTTACAAATTTTCATTTTCTTCGATGTGAGGCAAAGCCTGTATTCCCAGAAGGCTCAAACTCGGAGAAGATTCAAACTTTAGGGCAATTGTAATGTCAAAATTGTTTCGTCCTTTCTTGTGTTTTCTAAGTGAGTTTGCTGTGTACAAAAACAGCGGTTGGTCGCGCACATTGAACGGGAAAAAAAGTTTTTTCTTGGATAGTATATTTGTATAATTGATATTTCTATGACTATAAGATCTTATCACTGGTGACAGTTCATTCACACTTGGAATTAACCTATTGTAATTCCACAACTAAACTAGTTGCTCAAAAAAAAATCCTAGTTGCTCAATTAGATTTCACATTGAATTGTATTAAAACTCAAAAATGAAAGTGATGATCTAATTTTCAGGAAGAATTAGAAGAGATGAAGTTGGTTTTGTTGTTCCTTGCAGGGGTATTTTGCCTCGCAAATGGTAAGCAACATTTTTGAATCGAACTGCTTTTAAGAGGCTTTTGACCTTTTCCATTGATAAAACAAGAGTTACATTCTGATTGGAAAATGGTGTCATCATTTCTAACACTGTCCGAATTAACTTTCCGCACCGACTGATCTGGTTACTTAATTAGTTAATCTGCAATTTGATAGGAACACATTTTCAAACTTATTCAGGCAATTTCATTGAACCACAACCTTTGATCATTTACGTTTTCTGTTTATTTTCTCTTTTCTTGCAGCTCAACCAGTCCAAGAACGACTTGARCTTGTTGAAGATGACATTCTCATGACGAAGGAACAAAAGAATTATTACAAAGAAGTCCAAGGAGGTCGCGTWAGACGTGCTGCTCTCAAGGAACATTGGCTGTGGCCAAAAGGAGAAGTGTTTTATACATTCAAGGATAACTTAGGTATGTATGCAGCCCATGAAGCTGAATAAAAATAAAAAAAAAATAAATAAAAAATCGCTTTAGTTTCTTCATCGAAATTTGTCAAAATTTGAGATTTGACGTTTGCTCGTGTTTTGTAGAATTCACTGTTCCGACAAATCAAAACACGTCATTAATTTACGCGAGCGGGGTTGACCAATCAGAGTAGAGATCCCGTAATGGCAGCCATGTTGTCCCACAAGTTAATAAAGTTAACAAAGACCCGAATGCTTTCTTCCAAAGTTGCATAGGCACTCGCAATAATTCTTGAAGACTAAACACCAAAATTGCCTCAACAAATAAGGAACAATACATATTACAGCCATGTTTCCATTGGAAACTAACACTACTGATTTTCTCTTCGTGAAAAAGGTGTCTTCACGAACCCTTTAAAGCGAATCTCATGATTGGTTTAGAAAACAATGAACAAACAATAGATAAGTCTTCCAAACAATAAAACAAAACCTAATCTAACAATAGATCGAGCTTCTGTACTCATGGAGTGATCAGAGGTCTCGACGTCTTCGTGACAACCGAAGAAATGACTGCGCAACTCGTCCTGTTTTTATTGAAATTGTCTAGTGGAAGAAATTTGTACCTACGAAAAACGTTTAACAAAATCAACTTACTAAGAAATGTTTTGTAGCACTTCATGGTTTTGCAAGTTCTTGTCCAATTGGTTTACTAGCTATTTGTTAAATAAAAGAAAACAATAGAATTTAAAAACGAGAAAACAATGAGTTTATTCCACCAATCACAAGAAAACTTTGTGATGTAGAAATGGTTCGAACTGCGGCGAATAAATTTGTAATGAATATTATCGTCGCAGTTTTTAAAAATAGTAATCTAAGCTATTATTAATGTATGGATCGCCCGAAAAAATTATGGGCTTCAAGAAACCCTACAAACTCGTGAAGTATAAGAGAACAAAATTGCAGATAAAATTRAAATACCTCTTAACAGTTCACATGGTATTTTTTAGATGCCGCTGGTAGAAGCCTCGCCAGAAATGCAATGAAACACTGGAAGGATAGAACCTGTTTAAAATTCACAAGAAGAACAAACCAGCCCGTTTATGTTGAATTCCAGTACAAAAAGTGAGTACAGTTAATATGCTCTTGTCTTGAAATATTTCTGAGATCGCCACAGCAGCCATGTTTGTGTTTTATTGAAGAGGAATATATTTAGATAACGTAAGGGATAAACGGGATGGTCCAGTAGTTAAAGTATGATGGGACATTGGGTCCGCAGACCTGAGTTCGATTCTCATACTGCTGGATCGCTTTGTGTGCTTAGGCAGACTCTATCTAACTATCTATCTCCTTAACGTCCGCCGACATCATTCACAACAAGGGAATCCCAATTCACTTTCAAATATTTAAGTATCGATTTTATTATCTTTCAGAGGCTGTAGAGCGCAGCTTGGATACGATTCCAGATCTCCTAGACTTATCTCAATCGGAAGTAACAGCGCTGAGTAAGTACAGCCCTTTTCTCCTGTTCAAAGCAAACTAGTATTGACAACYGGTATTGATACAGCTCACTGCTGTGATCCTGATTAAATTCCTACTCTGGGAGACTATAAGTGATTTGAGTTTGTAGGCTGGTTCTCTTCCTTGCTCTGAGTGGTTTTCTCCAGGTCCGCTGGTTTTTCCTTCCTCCGTCAAAAACTAGCTGCAGTGAGGGAGTGTCGTATGCTAAAACAGTCAATGTTGAGGTAGAGTGTATGAGTTGCATCATAGATGAAGAACCACCTCCTGGATACACTGTGATTATTGACACTCTCTAATCAGCCAATCAGCACGCGACAAACCCTCGTTTATGTATTTCTTTTTTCTCATGCACAAACAGTCGCTGCACATTGGGATCCACAATTCATGAGATTGGTCACGCAATTGGTTTCTACCACGAGCATGTCCGTCCAGATCGTGACCAGTACGTTACCATCAACAAGGCAAACATGAGACCAGGAGATGGTATGAGATAATCATATAAAAAATTCGTTTTTCAGAATGGATGAGTAACATGTATATTATATGTACTCACTGTTAAAGTCAAAGATAAAGTGGAGACTGGGTCAACCACTACCGTACTACCGTTCGAACTAAGCTTTGAACGAGACAACAACAACAACAAAAAATAGTCTTCTTCACGGCTCCAAGTGCGATCTTGAAAGGTAGCTGCACCTTTGCATCGAAGCGAGAAGACCGTGAGCGTGCAATGATAGAAACCTTCTTTCACACCTAAAGACAATTATTTACAGGTATCTATCATTGCACGCTCAACAATTGTCTCGCTTCGATGTTAATGCACGGCTACCTTTCAAGATGGCGTAGGGAACCGTGAAGGAGACTATTGTAGGATTATGTTAAACAATGCCTATTGTTCTAATGGACATCTTCTTTTTTGTATTGCATGTCTCTCTTATTGTTTTCATCAAAATCACAATCATTGTTCTAMAAGTACGGTACTGAAGTTGGCTTTCATTGGAGTACAAATGCACGCAAATGAACTAACATAAGAACAGACGTTTTTATGATTTCATATTTTTTATATTTCATTATTCTATTTTTCACTAACATTCCGTGCAATAGACTRATTCCATAAGTCGGTACCAGTTCCCTCTCTGTCGATTTTTTTTCGCTCACAGGTTCGACTCTAGTTTGAGCGACAAACCGAAAAATCGAGGAGCGAATACTACGACTTATGTAACAGTCTATCCATGCAAATGCAAGAGATCCGTGAGCATGGAAGACAATGGAAATGGTTTGAAATTTCACGAGTTTTATCMAAATGTTTGAATAATTTGCACTCAATTGAGGYTAACACAGCGTAACAGTGGCGGATCTAGGATTTTTCAAAGGGGTGTTCCACTTTGTTTTCGCATTTTCCTAAAACGAACTTTTTTACTGTGCCTCTCTTACCTATTGTAAATTATAAGCCAGCTTCATCCTTCTCGGATGCAATTGTGTACGACGCGTTTTCATTTTATTTCATTTGTCATTTATCTTTATTTTTATTATTATTATTATTATTTTTTATGCTCGTGGAGGGTTCCTAGGAACCCATGGAACCCCCCTAGATCCACCACTGCGTTAAAGCGATCGCGAAACTCAACTATTCCGACGATAACTTTGAGCCTTTTATGTTTCAGACGTTGCAAGAAATTTCGAGAAAGTATCTACTTACTACGTCGACTCTCGAGGCCAAGAGTACGACTATGGCAGCATCATGCACTACTCTCGTTACCAAGGCAACAACAGATACAACGCTGTTGTTATTCAACCAAAGCAACCAAATRTTGAGATTGGTCAGAGGGATGGGTTGAGCGCTGGGGACATCGAGCAGACGAAAATCATGTACAAATGCAATGGTAAGTGCGGGCAGTATCAAATACTAGAGAGTTTAAGCATCATTACGTTAACGGCAAACGGCTAACGGCAGAGCTGAACCAATAACTTAAGAATTTTGTGCCTGATCTTATGCTTTTGACAGTCATTTGAAAGAGCGGCTTTTCACGATTATGGCAAACTCAAAATAACCCACTCTCGCGTTGAAACTGCAACGCTATTGCTCAAAAAAAGGTCACGTGATCTTTTCTGCCGTTTGGCGTTTGCCGTGAACGTCATGCTAAACCTCTCTACTATCAAATTTCGGTCGCAATATTGACAAAAATATGTTAGTTTTACTCGCTAATGCGGCGTTGTTCGCGAAATAGTAGATCTTTGAGTATTATTAAAAATTATTATTTCATTATTTGAACAAATATAATGTAGAAATATTTATTCTTAGAATTTCTACTGATGCATATGACTGATTTTTTTTCTTTCTTTTAATTTTTTAAAACATAATGATAATAATTATAGACCGTACTGGAGAAAGTGAGCTTGACTATGTTCCCTCGGACCATGATGAGGAAGAGCAAAATGGTAAGAAAAAAAAATGACTAAATAAGGATGTAAACTGGAACATTAAGATACAGTTGATWTAGGAAAGATTGTGCACTTWTCAAGCCAAATTCAATAGGCATAGGTAATGTGCAGCTAACGACGCCAGTTTGTCCACGTACTTTTTAATGTCCGCTAAAACAGTCCTTCTAACCAGTTTTTTTCTTTTTATAATCGAAAATCACTGGAAAAAATCGCGCGCTTTAAAGGTTGTAAATTTGATGTAAAAAATTTCCATTAAATTTACAGAATTTTGGACACTTACATCATATTTACATCAAATTTACAACCTTTAAAGCGCGCGATTGTTTCCAGTGAATAGAAGTATTTGTGCTTTTTTTATGTAAAAACAGCTAAAAACGGCTTTTAAGGAGATATYTTAGGGKCTATGAAAATTGCAAGGACTRCAACAACCATCATGCTTTGCTGCACAAAATGGCGTCGCTRCACATTGCATATTGCCCTGRCACTCATGCTGATTCACTTTACGCTCGTGTGAAATGATTTAGAATGYCAGGTGTGTTTTAGCGGAGAAACAACAAGTTAKGWATAAAATTCTATATGSACATTGGAGAAWATACARRATATATATCAAGACATGCCACAGTTGGAACAATAGAATTAAAATGTCTTATTTACGTATTGTCTTTTTTGATGGAAACCCAACTTTTTCAAGAATGACTGGATCATCGGCAAGTTTCACATCTTTTTCATCATAGAACTYAAGAATGAATTAGATACAGCACAGAATAGAATAGTTTATTTCTACTCTCTTCCATTGTTGTTACAATTTTGCATTGTATTAGGTAAATGTAAATCAGATGAAAGTCTTATAAATTTAAGTTTTCCTAATTTGTTCACTAAGTTAACTCATCAGTTTTCTAGTTATACAGGAATAATAGAAAATTGCATGGAATTAATCGAATTCTACAAAATTTAATTAAGAAAGTCATATGAGTCCACACGCATTGTATTATTGCCGACTAAAAAAAATTAAAAACATGTGCTCAAGACATCTACAGAAGTGAGTTCGAGTGCAAGTCTGAGTGAACGCAAACGTACGCACGCCGCGCAAAGCACGGCGGGATAGATGAGTGAAATTCAATTGACAGCATATCAGTGTAAAATGATTTTATTGTGATATTTTGTATTTTCAGGAGGAAGCAAACAAGGACCAAAACCTGGAGAAATTCAAGATTAAATACACTAAGATTACAATAAAGTTACCACTGATTCTACAGAAAATAATTATAAACAGATTAATTTTGAGCTACGAATCTCATTAAAGAGCATTGGAAAATCAACCTGTCAATATTTTACAGTTGTGTAAAAAGATAAATTTAACACCGCAAAAAAATAGGCGAAACAACTTAACTTACTGACGTTTCGGACGTTAATCCTTCGTCGGAGTAAAGAGACTCTATTTTAAAGTGCTACTTGCATGAAARTGGCCTCATTTCAAAACTTCAAGCAGTACAAATATATGACTCATTTATATCTATTAAAAACAATTGCGGGAAAATATTTGTCTTGGAATTATCCCACATCAGAGAAATTTTGATTCAAAAGATGGAAGAACAAAAGGATTGAGTAAATGACGTCATCTACTCCAACATTTTTTGCCMAAATTATTAAGGATTTGCATCAATATTTTCTTGAAATCTGTTGCTTCATGATTATTACACCCATATGGATAGGTCTATTYGATTTCCAAGTCTTTTCTAATGTTTCGCAATTTTCGGCCAAGTAGCCCTTTAACGTTTATAAACAAGAAATAGGCAAGAATATTATTCAAGATGGCTTCTCATAGTACCTCGAGGAGCTAATATACTTTGCTCTATTCTGCTAGCATTTTTCATTTTTATTTTCTATAGTCATTAATCAACAACCCCCTAGAGTGCTTGTTACTATAAAGATCTGCAGCAGTGGCACGGAAGAGTTTTAAACTAAACGAAATGTTCAGTATTAACGATGGATATATCAAATACARATTCTGAAGAGGTTAAATGAATATGCCTGAGCGTTTTCAATGATGTTTGTTGTAATGACAGTTGTAGTTTTTCTTAGAGCTATCATTTTAGAGTAACRATGCGTAGTTACCAGTCAAAGAGACCTGTTTCGACATTAGACTTGTCGACGTTAGACTGAGAAAATTTTAACACAAACCAATGTGACGTGGTCTTTTCCAATGACTCTAAAKCTCTTCTATATTGAGAACAAGAGGGGCGACACATATTGCTCTCTTTCTGTGCCTTCATCCTGTTGAGGTAGGACTGTGACCCGGTTCCTGTCGCTTGGGCTGCGGAGGGATTCAAACCATGACTCCAATCAAAATTACATCATTTTCCATCGGCTTTCTTTTGAGAACCATGAATTTATAACTTCTTGTTACAAAGCCGTCTTCTGAAGAATTAATCCTCCACTTGTTTGGAAACCTCCATCCTAAGTCTACTATAAAGTTGGTCGTGTTCTCATTGTCATTTTAACGTTTTTCAAATTTGCAAAAGTAATCCCAGTGTAGAAAAGCATGATGTCATAACGTTTTCAGTTCAATGCATGTTTGGGTCTGTTAACAAGTGWTGGCAAAACCTCAATATTTCTTGCAAGAAAACAAATAGATTCATCWGARGGAGGAGGRCTGATTCACCTCAACCTGTTCATGGTCACATGGTCTCTACATGAGGTCCTTGTAAAACATTTCCACGTCTGAATGACTAGACTTTATTGCAAAATTAAGCRAAAAGAAATAGACTTGTCACAGGTAGAAAATGGTTTTGAATATGTTTATGGATTTTTTTTTTCTTTTTTGAAGTCTACAATATTATATATGATGTCGATGTAAGAATGGTGGTATACAATAGAGGTCGGCCATTTTGAATAAATGCTTTCTCAAAAGATGTTTTCAATCTTTTCAATTGCCTTGGAGTTCAATATTTAAATCTACTCCGCTTGYATGTTTCAGTTATATTGATCACCATATGATATAATAAACTTTTACATCTTTCTCGGCATTCAATTTAATATCAAATTCAATCAATCACTCGATCGATAATGTCGGAAAACCTCATTCTCTAGAACTATAGCTTTCTATCATTTTTACGATTTCATATAATCGACAAGTCTTTCAATAACATCAGTGTCTAAGCTACAAGAGTCTTAATATAATAAATTGATGACTCAAACTACAGGGATGATCAAAGTGATGGAGCATAGTTCAGTCAAGGTAAGAATATACTTGATAAAATTATCTAGAATTTTGGAAACTGAGATATCAACGGATTCAGACTCTGTGCTTTTTGGCAAAATACTTMTTGAGGTGGAAAACGTCTCAAGAAAAGCGTGCCACGATTTGAAATAAAACCCCTCCTATCCTGACAACTATTGCGCAGTCCCTTAAGTAAGTTTATGAAACGGAAGACTAGCAAACTGTCCAACTGTCTCAAGCCGGACTTATCCAAGCATGGTCAAGTAAAAGTTTTCTTGAATACGCGCGTTTGAATTATAAATAGCTATCTATGCTTTAATGTTTTTTTATCTTTTGACCCATATCATTAGTCATCCTATTATCGCCACAAATATATCAATGGTTTGATTTGCCTGTACCATACTACTCCAGCTATAGGACCAAAAAGGCACCCCATACTATGTTCACAGGTAAGGTCATACRCGGGTACAAATATCTTCATATATTTTAGCTTTATCGAGGTTGATCATGGCAAAGACCATATCTTTTTGTAAATCTTTTTTAACCGAAGAAAATTGAAATSATAAAGAAACTGTAGTAAGAAAAACTAATTAGTCTTTCACTTGACTTTCGCTGTTTGTTTATCCCGAAGCACAAGCGACAATTTCCCATTGGCTATAGGAACAAATTGTTTGAGTCTCAATTGGTGACAACGAAAAATCAGTGTGACTTTTAAAAAGGATACCGTTTCATACRGAACATCAGACAGCTAGACGAATATTTTGTCTGTAAGCTGCGCAGGCGAATCTTTTGCTTGTAAACGGAATTTTCGTTTTCTCATAATGAAAACAACCGAGGAAAGCTCTTAATTGAGTTTTGATACTAATAACGTAATTGTTCATTAATTAATACTTTTTCAGTTTCAATCATGAAGTTGGTTGTAATATGCCTTATTGTTTTTTGTGTTGGCTTATTTCAAGGTATGCTTGTTGATCTATTTATGACATTGTTTTATACTATAATATACATATATCAATATGGCTCTTTTAAAACTCTCTCCATAGATATAAATACAATTTTATAATATGTACGYCATATATTATTAATATAATGAAACAAAGAAGTTACATTCATTTGTGAATGTTTATCATGGGAGTCAATAACATTTTGTTGCTGAAAAACAAATGTTATTACTGATAAATGTTTTTTTAAATATTTTTGCAGTTATAATATAGGTAGAGGATATAGCATGTACGCGCAGAGTTATGGATTTTATCTTCGAGTGWTGAAAAGATCTGAGAGATTTTCAACACGAGAAGATAAAATTCGTATCTCTAGGGGACCATGCAATTTACTGTTTATCATACATAGAGGATATTACATGGGTGTGCGAAGATACGGATTTTATCTTTGAGTGTTGACAAGATCTCTCACTTGTGAGCGTAGCGAACGAGTGAGAGATTTTCAACACGAGAAGATAAAATTCGTATCTCCAAGCGACCATGTAATATTCTGTTACATATGAAAGCAAATTATGTCGTAAAGTACCTTTTTTCTTACTTTCACAAAATGGAGAAATATAGGTATTTCATAGATAATTATATTGATAATAAGTTTTAATAGATGTTTACGACGTATTTCATATTTTTGCAGCTAAAYCCATTGAAGAGCATTTGGAGAAAGTAGGAGACATGCTACTTAGCAAAGATCAAAAGGAATTTTACGACGRATTAAAGAAAGATCGTTCCCGTCGAGGCGCTATGAAAGACGAATACCTATGGCCAGATGGAATAGTCTATTATACTTTTAAATCTAATTTAGGTAAGCGTCGGGTTGGGGTTTTAAAATGACAATTCGGGTAATGGTTGTCTTTCCCAATGACGTCATATGGTCTTTAGTCAAAATACAACATGGTATTGGTCGTTCGAAAATTAAAAAAAATAATAAAAAAGTCCATTTAACGAAAATTTAAACTCACCTCATGAAAGACCATATTACAATTAGTGTTCTTGTCACGTTTGAGACTATTTTGTTGAATACTCATCGAGTAGGATTTTTTTTTCAAATTTGTCAAAATAAGCGAGAATGTATGGTTTTTGGGGACGCTGCTCAAGAGCTCCATACATTCTTAGTAATTTTTTCGAGATTTAAACACTGGCAAGTCTAATTATGAAACCGAATACTCTCAAACTCAGCAACTATACTAATTTTAGTATATTTTTTTCATTGCTTGAAACGGTATCGAGTTTGTGASTAGTCCCTTTTTGAATGTCGGAATGGGCAACTGATAAAAGCATCAATATGGCGGATGTTTTATAAATGGTACGTAGGGTTATAAACCTACTAAAAAAACCTATAAACCCTATAAACTTATAAGTTTCTTCGCAAAATTTATGCTATCGGAAGTCGAGAATCATTTGGAAGACCAGTGGAAATTTCTGCACMCTTCACTATGTTCAAAGGCCTGTCATCAGTGGAAATAACTAACAGCATTTGTTCCAGAAACAGATAGGATCATAAACACACACTGGAAACTGAATCGCGCGCTTTAAAGGTTGTAAATTTGATGGAAATATGTTGTAAGTGTCAAAAACATCCTTTAAAGCGCGCGATTTTTTCCAGTGACAGACACTATACCTAATTAAAWAAATATTTGTCGGGTCGCAAAAATATGATATCATCTTGTATTAAAAATCTTCAGATTACTCGTAGAGAAGTTAATTTTATCCAGTGCAGCCCGTTTGGCATTGTAATTCCATTCCAATGTTTGTTCTCCTATGCACACTTTCAGTRCTAACTTATATGATCTAACCTTTTGGAGCCCGGCGTAATTGTTTATTCCATTTAGGTGCATCATCATTATATAAATTTGAATTAAAATCCTTCCCATGTTATTGTTAAAAACATTTGATGCAAACGATATTGTTGTTGTCTTTATATCTTTACAACTGAGCAACAATTGTATTGACTCGTATATACAAGGACACTACGAGCTGGGTGCTCTAAAATGTTTGTGCTATTTAGGTGATGATGGTAAAGAGCTTGCCAGAGATGCAATGAAGCATTGGACTGATAGAACCTGCTTGAAGTTTGTGGAAAGAACCAATCAACGTAATTACGTAGAGTTCCAAGCCAGTGGGTCAGTACTATTGATATTTTCCATTTTATGGGATATTTTAGAAAGATTAAGAATTTTTTTAAGAATTTGACTACATTCAGCGTGAAAAATTCTGTAAAAGACAGCAATATCTATTATATATATATATCAGCGCTGTTATTGAAAAAAGGAACCTTATTCCTTTTCGTCTACTGTTGTTTAATCTTATTGATAGAAATTTATTCCTTTGCCTACATCATATATAGTGAATATTTGCCTACATCTATATAATGAATATCTTATTAAGTTCGCTTGCTCGAGCCCGGTACGGTACGMGAAGTTATGGAACCGCCCGCTCGAGCCCGGTAAGGTACGAGAAGTTATGGAACTGCCCGCTGACTTTGTAAGTCATAAGCCATAACTTCCTGTACGGCCCTCACGCTCGGTTAATAAGATATTAATATATTTCTCCAGGGAACTCGTTTTCTCCTCCTAGGTCATGATTACGTGATTATAAAAAAACGACATGCTACGCTCGCTTTTTGTGCTCATTCAATGGAAATGAAAATTTGAGCCAGTGCACCTTTTTTAAAACTGAGCAGTTTATGTTAATGAAATATTATCACAATGAATGACAATGAAACATGTTTTCATTTATTTAGGGGTTGTCAAGCACAGGTAGGATATGCAAGAAGACCTAAACAATTCCTCTCAATTGGTTACACCAAAAACTTGTAAGTAACGTTTCGACATATCGGTAGCCAAGGCAACGTGACGTCACACTTGAGCACTCCATATTTCAGAGGGAAATCAACTTAAGCGGACACAGAGCTACCACATTTATCACTTGAATAACAGATAGATAAACGAGCAGTTGGAGTAATATCTACTAATAAATCTAATCGACTCCGAGCTCTCATTATAACACAGAAAATCTGTTCTGAACTCCTCTCCTCAGACTTTTTGCAGTTCAAACGCTGCCGTGATTTAGAGAAGGATCGTGCATGAGTGGGCATGGWGGTTCTTTCACAAGCAAATCTTTGCTTTCTTTTATAATAGTCTCCATTACGTTTCCCAGCGCCATCTTGAAAGATAGCCGTGCCTTTATATCGAAGCGAGACAACCGGTGAGCGTGCAATGATAGATACCTGTGAATAATTATCTGTAGTTGTGAAAGAAGATTTTTATTATTGCACGCTCAACGTTTGTCTCGCTTCTCTGCAAAGGCACGTGTACCTTTCAAGATGGCGCAGAGATCCGTGAAAAAGACTATTAAAAAACATCAAAAACTCACTTTTAGACCAAAAACTCCTTTAAGACTCACTTTTAGACCAAAAACTCCTTTAAGTATTATTCTTCCTTTTAAGATATTTAAACGCGGATAATGTACGATTTTAGAGTCAATTTTATCCTTATGATATAAACAAGAAGACAAGAACATGATTTTTTACTAATTGATATCTTTTTTTGTTTGTTTTTGTTTTGTTTTCTGTTCTTTTTTATTGTGCTATAGTCTCTGCGAACGAGGCTCTGCAATTCATGAAATTGGTCATGCAATCGGGTTCTTCCACGAGCACACACGCCAAGATCGAGATGACTACGTCACAGTCAATACAGAAAACATGATTGACGAYGATGATGTTCGGCAAAACTTTGAAAAAGCTGACCCACGTTTTCTTGATACCCGTGGGGAACCGTACGACTATAACAGCATTATGCACTACTCACGAACACAGGCAAGCAAAAATGGCAAGGATGAAGTGTTGACCCCAACTGATGAAAATGCTGAAATTGGTCAAAGAAACGGACTGAGTCAGGGAGAYATCGACCAGGCAAAACTCATGTACAAATGCAATGGTAAGAAATCGGTTTAGCAGTACACCACTGAAGCTTCATGTWTCATAGACGCAATGCATTGTAGGAGATGTTTTGGACAAAACATGGCGGATTTCCTTTTGATTGTTTTTTGAGARACCGAACCCACAATGCACTGCAAAACTCGTCATTAGTGACGTAAAAGCTTCAAAAGTCATAAAAAAAGTTAACAAGAAATCCAACGCACCCACTGAAGAGGGTWCCACAGGTAATATTAAAGCTGCATTGASCTTGAGTTGTTTCCCTTTCTTGATGTSAATAGATGAAAATGARAGCGATTTACATTATGACGAAAAGGACSAAAAGGACGAAAAGGAAGAAAACGAGGGGTCAAGTTCTAGTGGAGGTATGAATGATGAACATTAACCGCATTTAGCTATTTRTTAGATGAACGTGCCTGTTTCTATMTGAGTTCTGTAATCTTGTTGAAATGAGTCAATGTACGTTGAATTATCATCTTAAGAATAGCATGAAAGTAGTCACTAGTAGAATAGGAAATTGGGGTTCTGCAACTGGAGTATTGTGGTAAATTGTGGATAACATGGGATGCTATTATTTGTTTTGTTTTGTTTTGTTTGCTTGTTTGTATTGAAATCCAGCTGCCAGGCTAAAGTTGTTTCCACTGAGAGCCAGGGATGCGTGCAAAATAGCTTTGTGGAAAACAATGGAAAGCACTGCCGTATATGGCGCATGTCTCTTCTATGGCATACCACTGTTTTGGTTTCCAGTCATTAGCAAAGGGTTAATGAATATATCTTCAGCACAGTAATCAACTGACATTAGGCAAATTGACATTGATATTGATATACATTCATGTTCCTTGTCCACATTCTTTGCAGTGCGACCTGGAGTAATTCTACAATGAGATTGATTGCAGAAGCCAAGGCTCTTTCAATTACCAAATGTTTAGTGTTCTAATACCCAAATTGAAGTTTTATGATTAAATTTACCAATGGCATGTAGTTGTAGTA